GCTGCATACCATCCCATCTGTCTGGCCTGGGTCCACAGCCTCATCTGAAATAATGAAAAAATGTTATATATTATCATTTTTCATCATCATTATTTGAAAAACATTATCATCTTAACCTTGTAGATTTCCCTAAAGGGGTTCAGTGATTCACAGTCCTTCAGATCGGCTGGTTCTAACTATTATCAACATTGCCATAGAAGCAGTCACCAATGCACATTAATCAAACTGATTTGGGTATTTGTTAATTCTATCTAAACTACTGCCTCTAAAATTAAAGGATGACACTCACCAATTGTATATGTTTCAATAAAATTTCTATTGAATATTATGAAAATATTTTGGGCTACACCAGGTGAGAATAAAATTTTAGTTAACCAGTCCCCTCTTTGGAGTCTGTCAACAGCATTAACAGAGATGCCAAACCGTCACTGGGAAATCTGTCCCATTTTCTAGTAACCTTCATTTTTAGGCACTGGATAGCTAAGGCCTGCTGTGCAATTAACCTCAATGGCCAGACAGATTTATCAGTTGCTGTCCAGCCCCAAGACATCATATGAGATTCCAGCAACTGATTTGGGGAAATCCTTTAAACTCCTCTATATGATGATAGTATTAATTTCCCTACCATTGTATTTTTATTGTATTTCTACAAAGTCTGGGGATTCCCTGGTATAAAGGAACACCAGCCTTGGGAGTCATAGTACATTTGCGTATCAACTCTTCTACATATTTATTTAAATTTTCCGAGCCTCAGTTTCTTCACCTGAAACATAACATCAAGTACACATTTAATTTGGGGAGAATTAAATAAATTGGCCTACAATAAACAATTAGTTTCCTTCTACCAACAGCTACAGAATGGCTAACAGAAGTGGCTTACAAGTTTGTGTCTTGAACTATGTAAAAATAAATCAATTAGTATTCTTATTGTTTGTGCAGATTAAGAAATGGGGTCTATCAGATCAATTAAAAATAAAGAACACCTATTTATTTTTGGTTATTTCTTTCCTGTATCAATTTATGACACATTAAAGATATAATTTATCTAAGAGTGCTTAAAATGTTTTTAAAAAAATCCCACAAACTCCAACTCCTAATTAAGAATTTGTCACACTTATATCACAGAAATGACACAGGATGATAGCACAGAAAACTGAAAACAAGCTAGTTTGAGGCCTGTTAGAAACAGGCTGAAAGCACTCTTATTGATGATGTCCCTGCTGTATGTAAAAACACAAAAAGATGAAGTTGCCTCCTGAAATATGTTTAGCTCTTCCACTACTTCACACTCCACAGTTAATCTGGGGGGAAAAAAAATCCCTAACTGTGCAGCTCCTCTTTAACAAAGATAAGTGTTGACTGATGTTTTTATCTCTAACATTTACTCATGTCTCTACCCCCTCCTAAGACAACCTCATCTTACCTATGGTCATTGTCTTTGATTATCTTCCTCTAGTATTTTCGTTCCACCAGTAGAAGGAGGTAGGCAACACTGTGAGGGCAAGAGGAAGTCTAGATCCAGTTGGGAGTTGTTAAGGCTGAGGAAAGCTTCTGTTATAGGAATATTTTTCAGTGATAATTACAACAGGGATAGAATAGGTTCATCCAGGAATAGAATGCTTTATCTATATGATTTATAATCTCAGTGGCTGGTTTTGTTTTTAATGTAAAGCTGTTGTGTCCAATATAGTAGCCACTAGCCACCTGCAGCTATTTAAATTTAATTGAAAAATAAATTAAAAATCCAGTTCTTTAGTCACATTAGCTACATTTCACGTGCTTTTATGACACATATGGCTTAGTGGCTACCTGACTGGATGGTGCAGAATTATAGAACATTTCATCATCACAGAAAGTTCTACTGGGCAGTGATGATACACATCTGAGAATGAAAAACAAAGTAATAGCCCATAACTCTTTTTAAATTAATAGATGTCCTAGTCTACTCTACCATTATATAGTAACTTACCAAAAAGGGAAATTTTTTTTTTTTTAATATCACAAAACAACCCTGTGATAGCTTCCTACTTAAAGTAGAAAAGTAGAAAAACTGGAAAACAAGAAAGTTGGATTTGTTGGTAGCAACCACTTTATTTTCTGATGGAATCTCTGATAAAAACATGTGATCACGTAAGCAGGTCTCACCTGCTGCCAGAATGGGCCAAGCTGCCAAGATGCAGTGCAGATGTCACCTGCAGCATAGATATCAGGAAGGGACGTTTGCATATGATCATTCACTTTCAGGCCACCATCTTCTCCTAGATCAAACTAGACAATGTTCCTCATAAGTGTAAGTAATAAGAAAAATGAAACATGACTTTTTCATTATAAAATAAAACAAGTCAAACTTTTACATCTTAGTATGGTGATCCTTAGTGATAAAGTGAAAAATAGCTGCAAAGTTTAGACACCTAAGCTGAATTTCCACAGATCAAATTCCTATTAAGAGAGACCCATAAAAATCTTAGAATTTCCAAATTAAAAATACCCAATAACCCTATGACTATCTCAACCATAATTACAAGGACATTCTGTTTTTGTAAGCTTCAAATGCTAAAAAGCAAAAAAATACAATCCTGTGTCTCTAAAAGAATCATAGGATTCACAGGAGATTTGTCTCTGATGAACTTTTAGATAAATTGTGCTGATTACATTAATGATGGCACATGTGCTGGGATGTTAACTGCGTAAGCATTTTAAGTAGTAAAGAATGTGTCTCTAAAAGAATCATAGGATTCACAGGAGATTTGTCTCTGATGAACTTTTAGATAAACTGTGCTGATCACATTAATGATGGCACATGTGCTGGGATGTTAACTGCGTAAGCATTTTAAGTAGTAAAGAANTAATTACAAGGACATTCTGTTTTTGTAAGCTTCAAATGCTAAAAAGCAAAAAAATACAATCCTGTGTCTCTAAAAGAATCATAGGATTCACAGGAGATTTGTCTCTGATGAACTTTTAGATAAACTGTGCTGATCACATTAATGATGGCACATGTGCTGGGATGTTAACTGCGTAAGCATTTTAAGTAGTAAAGAATACTGTAAATCAAGACATGAATATAAACCAAATTGTTTTCAGCCATCTTAAGTTACAGATTTGTACTAAAACAATAATTATTCATGCTTCAGAATTAGAGATGTTCACAAAGATTTAATACTTTAAAAATATTCATAGCTGGACAAAAAATTTCACCTTACACTGTTATTGTGGAGAAAAGGTTCTGTATTTGGTGTAACTCCGGTAGCACTGACAATGAAATCACAGCCATAAATCTTTTCATTGGTCAATTCCACATATATAGGCCACATCTCTTAAAAAGAAAAAAGACTTTATTCTCAAATGTAATCACCACCAATTGTCCACAGCATTATGTGAATATGATGATTAGAAACAAAGAAAGGAAGAAAAAGGCAGGAGATGACTTTATACCACCAGCTCTTAATAATATTTATAAAATACATTTGCTAAAACAATTTTAATGCAATCAAACTCATCTTGTTTTGGGTATAATTACAAAACCATGGCACTCTAAACATTTTTTCTTCCAAATTTGGACATACAAATTTAAGCACAATTTACATTGAAAACCACTTTTT